TCTCTTTGGACACAAAACACACTCACCAAACCCACAACGATTTCCCCATTTGGGGGGTTGCTTTGATTTATTTCTGGGACCTCTATTCAGTTTTTTTTTCTTTGTCTCCAAAGTTTAAAAAAGGAACTATATTTGCACCAGAAAAAAAGAAGAAAACAAAAGAAAAAAAGAAAAAAAGAGGAATAATCTAGACATCTATTATCCTAAATATATATATATGATACCAACCGACAGATGTATTAACGGACCTTCTGATCATAACGCATGCCTGTTATCAAACCCTTCTTTCTTCTTATCCCCTCTTCCCCTCACCCGATGGAATTTCAGCCTGGGGCAATTTTGTTTTGGTTTTTTTAAAAAAAAAATCATTGCTCGCTGTAGCTTGTATTTTATATCAGGGTTTGCCGGGAAAAGTAAAAGGATTATATCCTCTAGGGAGGGGGACCTGACCATGGAGCAGATGCTGAGTAACCTTAAAAATGGAAGCACAGTAGGGCACAGTGGTGCACAGATGCAGAGTGACTTAAAGCAGGACTCTGTTGTATCAGCATCAGTTTGGGAGCTTTGGGGGCAGTTCTTCAGAAACTATAGGACACCCCCCCCCCATAAAATGAAGAATTGTTTCCCCTTGTCAATAGGACACTCTTCCCTTTGCAAGTGCTCAGCTCCAAATGCTTCCTCTAGCTTGTAATTTTAACCTTCCAAGAAGTAGTTGAGGAGTATTTAGGTGGGTGGTGGAAGTAGTGCCATGAGTATTTATATTGTTTGGAGATTCTTTGCACACTAAAAGGAGGAAACATTTTCTACTGTTTCAGGTTACTCATTTAGACCATTAGTCAGGGCTGCCCAATCTGTTAGTCAGCAAGTAACCTGGGATCTATCAAAGGTGTATTTCTCAGAATCCTATCTGTCACTTCCAAAACATAATCATAAATTTCAAGCTCTCATGGAATTTGAAACTGTAGAGGCAGTGTTTGCAGATGGCTGCAGTGCCCATAGTTAGAACAGAGTCATCCCTCCTTTGTGACTTCTACTCCGTTTGACTTAATAACACAGATTTATATTCAGCATGATTCCAGAGTTCAGTCATGTTACCATGCCTTCAAAATGCCCTTTTATTTGCACTTTTGGGGAGGATTCCTTCCTCCTGACCCAATCACGGTACATGAGGACTCTGGGCTGGGAAAAACAGGGCTCCAGGAGGATAGGACATTTTTTCAACAGCTAGTTCACCATTACATTCTGCTAAAAATGCACATAGTTATAAAATCACAGAGTTGGAAGAGACCTCAAGGGCCATCTAGTCCAACCCCTGCCACAGAGGAATACACAATCCTAGCACTCCTGACAGATGGCCATCCAGTCTCTGCTTAAAAACCTCCAAAAAAGGAGAGTCCACCACACTCTGAGGCAGCATATTCCACTGTCAAACAGCTCTTACTGTCAGGAAGTTCTTCCTCATATATATGAGCTAGGAAATCCAAGTTCAGCCCCAGCAATTCTCCAACTGGGAAATTTCCCAGATTACCTTGAAGGCCCTGCCCATGAAGTAAGGCAGGGCCTTCAAGACAAGGCACCCATCTTAAGTAGAGGATGTGGGGGTCCCATTAATGGAAAGGTACATGTAGCCAGTGGAGCACAACCTACTGAGAATTCTCCTGTACAAATCCCATTGAGATGAACGAGTACTTGGGGTTTTTGGGCAGCCCCTGTAAAGTTCAACAAAGTCTATTTGGAGGATTTTCGGGTCCAGTGTGAGTTCTGTGTTGTTTAGCAAGAGGGGAGTGCATCCCACTTGTACTTCTTGTCTCATGCACCAAAATGGACAGGATAACTTTGGAGATGGCAGAAGCAGCTGCTATTAAACTGAACATATTCCTGGCTCGTGTTACACAGATCTTATGAGTAGTGCCATGAAGCATGCACTTCATATATTCATTTCTATCCCACTCTTCCTCCAAGAAGCTTAGAGTAATCTGCAAGGAGTAATTCCATGTTACAACAATTCCATGAGAGAAAGCAAATCAATGATTTGCCCAAGGACTCCGAACAAATGTCATGGCAGAGTGAGGATCATCTTAGTCTTAAGCATGATACATTAAATGATTTACCTTTGTGGCTATCATATGTAGCCCTCATATTTGTAAGAGTCTTCATTTTGTTGCAGAATAAGACATAGAAAGTGAAACAGTACAACCCCCATATATGTGAAATTCACTTGTCCACATCTGGAAAAAAATATTTTCTCTAGGCATTTCTAGGTCCTCCAGTGCAATTCTGTGGTCAGTTTCTGGCCCAGGCATACCATATAATTTGCAGGTGGACCTAGAAATGCTTAGAGGAAATGTTCTCTCTAGGCATTTCTAGGTCCTCCAGTGTGAATCTGTGGTATGCTTGAGCAGGAAATTGTAAAAATAAAAGGTTTCCCTGATATCTGCAGTTTCAGGTACCTATGGAGGACTTTTGGAACATAACCCCCATGGAAACTGGGGTTGTACTGTACTGAGGTTTATGGTCCAGTGGCAGCTAGGCCAGTGTTTGGACACAGTAGTGACTAGTCAAACATCAACACCAATAAGCTGGAGACTTGTGACATACGATTTCAAAAAATCTTTCATTGACAAATGTGGAGAATTGTTTCCATCAAATCAAAATGGCTTTGACCTCTCACACTGTCTCCAAAACAGCCTGAAATTTACCAGGTCACATCAACCAAAGTTGTACAACATTTCTGTCAGAAATGATCTGCAAGGAGCTTCAAAATGTCAATGACACTCCATAGTGGTTGACAGAGATGTAGGTGAAGAGTGTAGGTCTCACACAAGTCAGAACCAAGGATTAGGCATGGGCTTAAAGAAATGAGTGGCCAAAGCATCTGTGGTGGAAGACAAGCAGTTTTGTTTTCCCCAATGTGCCAGGAACCAGTACCATATTTACGCCTGTTGGCTATGATGGTCTCCTTCCTTGGGAACTCTCCAGGGACTGGCAGCTGATGGTTTGTGGGCTTGCACTGGTCCATAGATCACCTATTTGAGCAGCACTGCTCTTGAAGTCTTTGTTGTCATAGCCTGCACAGATACAGCTCTTAAATATAGGACTACATGAAAGCCACAAAAAAAAAAACCTATTTGTGAATCTGTCAAAGGTAACAACGGAAGAGCAGTAACTAGTGGTTAGAAACAGTTGGGGCAGAAGTTTGGCAACATGGGTGCTATGCTTGCCTGGACTGTTTTTGTTGTGAGATGCAAAGATGAGGCAGCCTCACTTTCCTCACATACAAAACCATGTCAAAAAGCCACAATGATTTCTGTGGAGTATACTCTGCATTTTCCCTGGGCAAACCTGCTTGAAAATACCAGCTGCAGCACTGTCAGAAAAGCCATCCCTTCTTCGGAAGGGCAAATGCCAAACCCATCTGTAAATCTTTTTGTCTCCATCTTTTCTTTCCAAGAAAAACAACAAAAACAAAAAAAACAACAACAAAAAAGAGAAGTTTCTTTTTCCTCATCTGAGTGTTTAAAGAAGAAAATAAAATCCAAAATCTTCAGTGTTTAGTTTTCAAGGAAAAGGAACGGGGCAAAGAAAACCTTTTAGTCCCAGCTTGGGCTTCTTTTCATTCGATATTGTAGATATTATTGATAGAAAAAAAAATATTATATATATATTTAAAAAAACGTTTGAACAAAAAAAAAAAAGTCACTTTGCTGCTGTACAAACTCGCCAGCCATCTGCTATTTCGCAATGAATTGAGGGCAAGGGGAAACATTCACTCCTAAAGGAAGAAGGGGAGACTTCTGCTCTGGGGGGGGAGGTGTCTTTTTTTCTACACCATAGTTTAAAAGGGAGGGGATGAAGGTTTTTTTAAAGAAAAATAATAAATAAGTTTAAAAAGTGCTTGTACATTTGTCCACATGGAAGGGGCCATCCCAAAAATCACAAAAGCATCAAGCTAAAACTACCTGGTGATGGTCAATGGCTTTCCTAAGTTGGGCTCACCTACCAACCAAATATCAGACTATCCTCCAAACTATTAGTAACAAGCATCATAGAGACCACAAGGGCCATCCTTGCAGGAATACACAATTAAAGCACTCCAAACAGATGGCTATCCAGCCTCCATTTAAAAAAACCCAAAGGAGACTCCAGCACTCTCCGAGGGAGTGTGTCCCATTGTCAAACAGCTTTTACTTTCAGGAAGTTCCTCATAACATTTAGGCGAGATCTCTTTTCCTGTAGATTGAATCCATTGCTCCATCTCCCAGTCTCTGGAGCAGCAGAAAACAAGCTTGCTCCATCCTCAACATGACATCCCTTCAAATATTTAAACATGGCTATCTTGTCACCTCTTAACCCTCACTTATCCAGGCTAAACATACTCAGCTCCCTAAGCCACTCCTCATAGGGCTTGATGGGTTCCAGACCTCTCACATCTAAACCAACCTGTGGTTATCCACACAATATCTCACCTATATAGAACAGGCTCTGTCCTAAACCAGCAGGGTTAGGCAAAGGGATCAGATGTTGTACCCTCCCAGCTATTTTCCCAGTCTTTAACCATTCCAGGTTTCCAGGATGACCTTACCTCTGTTTGAAACTAAGGAGAAAGGTGAACTGTCTCTCCTGGAAGCCTCCAGAATTAGCAATTTACCTTTTACATTGGTTGCAGTGTGGAACTTTTTAAGAATCCAAAACCAGACGTAGTCTTCCAAATTTCTGTGTTATTTTCAAGGCAAGGCCCTACCTCAAGGACAGAGGCTGCAATCCAATATTTCTTTGGTATAGCCTGAATATCTGCATGTGGAAGTATGCTCTGCCAGCACTACACAATCTCCATGTGGAATAGCAACACTGCACAATTCATGTCAGTGATTGGGTGCCTTTGTACCGTGCGCAGCCACAATGCCCAACACTGATACATGCAGAGCTCTGTCAGCAGAATATATGTCTGTTGTGTCATGGTGAATAAGATCACCCCCCATGCACAGCATGGCGTACTCATGTGTAGCGTGGCATAGTGGTTTGTGAACTGGACTATGACTCTGGAGACCAGGGTTCAATTCCCCACTGAGCTATGAAACCCACTGGGTGGCCTTGGGCAAGTCACATGCTCTCAGCCTCAGGGGAAGGCAGTGGCAAACCTCCTCTGAACATATCTTGATAAGAAAACCCCATGATAGGATCACCTTACGGTCACCATAAGTCGGGAAAGACTTGAGGGCACATAATAACAACAGCAACAATGCTGCCGCTAAGAAGATTCCATCCAGAGAATAAATTTATACTCCCAAAGTTATGTGACAATTGTGCATCACTGTAAAAAACAAAAACAAATAAGCCAACAGAGGTAACATGCACAACTCAATACATATCTATGTGGACAATGTACAACCCATGCAGATATGCATTGTTGTATGGTTTTAATAGCTGAACATGTGCAATGTCATTGCATGTTCAGCTTTGCTTATGCAACCTTCAGCTGATTATGGACATAACGTCACAACCAAAGAAATACAACCACATCCGTAATTGGGTGGATGTTGGAGTACGACTCTGGAAACCAGGGTTCAATTCCAAGCTCGGCCATGAAACCCACTGGCTGACCTGGGGCAAGCCTCACTCTCTCATCCTCAGGGGAAGGCAATAGCAAGCCAATCTTGCCAAGAAAACCCATGATAGGCTCACCTTAGGGTTGCCATAAAGTCGAAAACAACTTGAAGGCACACATCGCCAGCAACAGGTCACCAACAGGATGTCAACCTTGTGCTTTTTCCTCAGTGCTTTTTTGGGAGACTATGAAATGCCACTTCAGGTGACCAGCCTTGCCATATAATAATAGCAAACTCATACTCCACATGGCCATCTTTTACAAGAGAGATGGTAGTACCTTGATGACAGAACACATATTGTGCATGTCAAACGTTCCCTGTTCAGTCCCCAACATCTCCAGGACTCAGGAAGACCCCTCTCTGGATTCCTGACAAACCAGTGCCAGTCAGTACAAGAAACACTGAACTAGATGAGCCAGTGGTCTCACTCAATGACATTTAGACATCACAACACACCATGGTGTGGTTTGTTAAGATTTGCTTTGTTGTGATGTAGAAATCTCCCACTGTTAACAAGGCGTAGTTTTCTAAACACAAGCCACACTGTGAAGCTGAGGTTTGTTC